AAACAAAGCATCGCGATCCTTCCCCTCCGCTGGAGTCCGTCGAACAACCAGAGCCGCCGACCTCAAGTGGCTGGGGCCTGCGTCGCGCTGGTATCCTGCGTCGTTTTGGCATAGCACCGTCCTCGATAGCGAGCACCCCGCCCTCCCCATCGACACCCAAATCGCACGCCGCATGCATCCGCTTCTTCCGAGAACTGTCGTCATAAGGCTTACCTTCTATAATTGCCAGGTAGTGTTCCTCGGGCGCACCGTGAGGAACTCCCGGGCGAACTCCATGCTCAACTATCTCCGGGGCCCGCAACAAGCAGAGCAAGTACAGATCGGACGCAATGGCACTTGACACCGTGTAAAACACCTTGGCCTTCCCAGGGGCACACGGCCCCAGTGCATCGCGATCCTCGCGCTTAGGGGGGAGCCGCATCCAAGAGAAGCCCATCTCATCCAATCGGCAAAGCAGCTCGTAATAGGTCAGCTCCTCCAGCGGGATCGCCGCCCTGGGCGAGCAGACCTGGGGGCGGGACGGGGGCATGCTCGGAGAGGTCCTCCTCCTCCTCCTCCTCCTCCTCCCTGCTGATCCTCCGTCTCCTCCTCCTCCTCCTCCTCCTCCTTCTCCTCCTTCACCTGATCCTCCTCCTCCTCCTCCATCTCCTCCTCCTCCCTCAGAGCGGCGCTGCCCGCCAGCCTCCTTGCTCCGCCGTAACTGGTTACTCCTCCTTCCGCCTCCTCCTCCCCCTCCTCCTCGTCCTCCCCCTTCGAACATGCTCGTTCTGAACCCCTCAGGCCCACCCGCCCCATCCCCGCCTGATCACGCTCTAAACAATTGGGTGAAATTTACACCTCCGCGGAACCTGCGTCGGCTGAGAAACTTCCCAGAGCATTTGCAACCTGGCAGCGCCAGAAGACGTCAGCGACCACCCCCCCTCCGAGGTGCCCCCCACGACGCCCAGCACCGTCAGCTCGCGCATGGCATCATCAGAACAGTCTGCATCGCAGCACATGAGCCGCGTCTCAGAGCCCTCCACCGAACCAGAACGAACTAATGCCGTGACAGCGGTAGTCTCTTCAATCGAGTGCCCGTTCACTGTGCACCAAAGAGCTGACCTGATACTCCACTGCAAAAAACATTTCTCGACTTCGCCAAGATCGACACCGAGGTCGCTCAGGATGGAAACGTCATCGTGGGGGGGGTCAGCCCTGAGAAGATATACGTTGTGATCCAGACAATGAACGACTGCGTGCTCTGTCACCCCAACATCAGTCTTGACTATCCTCCGATTGCTTCCTTGAACGCCCTTCATCAGCTTAAGACTGGAGGGCGTCATCGAGACGAGCCGGAAGAATAACGACCCAGCAGCGCCGTTACCGCCAGGGCCGCTGGGAACGGCAACGGGCAATTCGCCATCCATGCAGGTGTCTTCGAGCATCCCCCCAGGCGCAAAAGCGAGCCCGCCGCCACCTGGCACTGATCGGCGGAACACTCCCAAGGGCTGAACTTCTGGGCGATTCGCGGGCGGCAGCGAGTAGACCGTGCCCTGGCCCCCCACGTTGCGGACATGATCCAGGACTGCATTGCGCCGAAGCGCATCGTAAGATATGGGCGCCACCACGACGTCGCCAATCACTGCCTTGCGAGCTTTATCGATATCACGTTGGCATCGCTTGAACTCTTCATGTGGCTTGGTGAGGTCCCGATATTGGGCCCCTAGGTCGAGGTGGTAGATTGCTTGAGTCATGGGATGTTCGAGGTAAGCAGGTAGCATCCCTCGCCCTTGGCATGCTGCGGCAATGCTCGGATGGCGCTGGATTCCAAGACGTGACACAGCGCCCCCCAAGTGTCGAGCAGCGCCGAAAGACTCCAAGAGCAAGTCGAAGAACGGGCGAACTGACCCTGTCTCCACCGAAAGGCGTGCCTCTGCCAATGGCAGCCTGTTGCTCAGGCTTGTGATGACGGCCCCTGAGCGGCTCACCTTCTTGCGAGCCTTAGTAGTGATGGCATGCTTGGTCTCAATGATCGTTTCGACAACTGGAACAAACCGCAGCTTGCAAACCTCGACCTGGAACGGTTCAGATAAGTCTCGGAGCCTGCAACCGTTGGCGAATTGCTCTAATTCTTCTCTGAAGCCCATGAGGAACGGCATCGACAACCGGTGATGCATGATCAACTCAGGGCGGCGTGTCAACATGTCCACGATGTCGCGGGCAATGCTCTGTGCTGTCGGCTCATCGCGGTGAGCGAGGCCGCATAGCACCCATGGAAGTTGTTGCCAAAAGCCAGTCTTCAGCGCCAGGCAAAGCTTGATGTGGGCAATGGCACCGTGCCACGCTTGAAGGAGCTCCCCAAGCTGGTCCGCGCTCAAACTGTGCCCAACATCTGAGATGAGTTCCATGGCCCCCCTGTGCGATAACGAACTCAAAACCTCCTCGATGTAGCCCGCCGCCAGATCTGGAGCGCGTTTGCCCGCCAGTGGGCAGCTGCGCCTGTGCGACTTGCCGAAATGTAATTCGATCACCTGCCGCCGCCGACTCTGGTGTTTGAACTGCTTCTCTCTGAAAAGGTCCTCGTGGCACGCGCGCCCCTCGCGCCACCCGGCCAGACGCTCGGGCATCGCGTCAAGCTTCAGCACCAAACAGAGGAAGCTGTGGAACGTCACGCTGCGCAGAGACCGTGAGAACAGCGCCTTGTCGAAGCTCGTGTCCTTGCTATCCCCACCTGCGGCAGACTGGCCATGCTCGTCACGACCATCCACGCCCCGCATAAATTTGATTGGATCCCAAGCCGCAGCAAGCAGGGTCATTAATGGGTGCACCTCTTTCACAAACGCATGCACCTCGTGCCACCTTTTCTCGTACAGGGATTTAAAATGGTCGAGCATGTCGGCGTGGGATTCCATTGGCGTTCCATTGATGCAACTCGAAACGAAGCGCTGCCTCAAGGATGTGCAGGCCAATAGTGCCTCGATGTTTTTGAGTTCGCGCCAGCGATCATCCCACCCAGGAATCTTCTCATGCACGTCCTTGAGTAAATTGTACACGATGTGCTGCATCCCAGCAATTGGCATTGCATTCCGAAGTACATCCGCGCACCCTGCTCGAATAGCAAAGACCATGACACAACGCGCCAGGGAATAATCTGAGGTTCAGCGGGGCGGGCGGCGGTCTGGGGCGAATGCTCATCGGGGGCCCTCCTTGTCGCCGCAGCTGGGCGCGGCTCGGAAAACTGGTGCGTTTCGACGCCGGGAGGGGTCCGGGGGTTCGCAGCGAGCTGAAACCTCAAGTTCACACGCAAGGTGGGGGCCCTCCGAGGGGCCTTCGACCAAAACAACCCAGGATAATTTTTGCCCAGGAGGACGCCGAGACCCCCCCAGGGGCCCCAGGCCCAAAAAGACCCAGGAGAGATTTCTTCCAGGACGAAGTCCAGACCCCCCCCAGGGGCCCAGGACCAAAAAGAACCAGGCGAGACTTCAGGGCAAAGCCCAGACCCTCCCATGGGCCCCAGGAGCAAAAAAACCCATTAGCAACCGTTCGGGCGCGGGCGGAGTTGGCGCCGACCTTCGGGATGCCCGTGCTCATCGAGCGGGATCGTATCGATGTCCGTGGCGTCGCCGTCAGGATCCTGAGCAAGGTTGCAAGATACGGACACAAGTCCTCCTCCTCCTCCTCCTCCTAATCCTCTTCCCTTTTCTCACAGCGGCCCGAAATGCAGAGGGACCCGAACGACTCAGCTCCTGGCGTGAGTCGTTCGGGCCCGTTCTCCTCCTCCTCCTCCTCCTCCTCCTCCTCCTCCTCCTCCTCCTCCTCCTCCCCCCCTCCTCCTCGCCATCATCCCCCTCCACCTCCTCGCCCCCGTCCCGAGTCAGACTCAAGGAGGACGAGCGGGGAGGGGAGTGGAACGAAATCTCAAGGGGGCTGACCAGGGACGCGGCATGTTTTCCCCTGGGGACCCGTCCTCGCCGTCATGCTCCACTGGCTGGAAGAACGCGTGCTTCGGCAAGAGGTTTCGGAGGCTCGCGGAGAACTCGGGAAGGCCCACCTCCACCCCCATGTCCGTCGTCACCGAAACAAAAGAGCTGATGTGCCGGGTCATGCTCGCCAACGTTGAACTTTCGAGGCATATGCAATGGAGAAGCGACGCCGCGTTATGAGGAGTATTCGCCTTTCCCGAACCCAGGGCCTGGGGCACGTACACGTGGTGCGTAATGCATTCCGATAGAATTCCCAACGCTGCTTTCACACGCGCAGCAAGCGATGCAGGATCTGGGTCTGGGTCATCATCACCCAGGGCTAGATCGCGGAGCACCGTCTTCCCTGCATCGCTCTCGATGAGCTGGGCTGCGTCGAACACATTATATAATCGGTCGAACGGTATCTGGTGGCACTCGGTCCAAAGCCAATTCGCAAACTTGTTCGGCGAGCTGTCTATCCACATATATCGGACGACGTTCGCGTCGTTCATGCGCTGGGCCGCAAGGAGCAAGGCCACGTCCAGGATCAGCCTGTATCGCCGAAGATTCCTGGCCGTGGGAGGCTGCATACCCCGTGCGTGTTCAATATTTTCCAAAATACCTTTGTGCATTGGCGCGGGCAGCGTAGCCTGAATGGCATTGAGCACCGCGTCGGCCATCCGTTCTGTGCTGATGTCGGCAGCCCCAATGCATCGCAAATAAAACAACATCCGCTCGCTGCTGATAAACCGACAGGACCGATGCTGGTCCGCGCGCTCCTCGTGCTGAACCCAACCCCGTAGCAACATGGCCCAGCTCTGCATGGTGCTGACTGCGCCGCCCATCTCGGCAAGGGCGCCAGCTGCAATGTCAGCCTGGGGAGGCAGGGGGGGGGAGAGGACACGGGGAGGGCGGGCAGAGATATGCAGCAGCAGAAAAAGCAGGAGGAGGAGGAGGACTGCGTCGACGACAAAGATGGAGAGCGACCGGATTGGGCGAGGACAGGGGGCAGGCAAAAAGGGAAGAACAGGAAGGGGGGGATCGGACCCCATGCGATGCCTCGTCGTCGCAGTCGCCCCCGTCGACGGGCGCAGAGATCAACGCGGACCACCGTCGAATTTGGCTGGCCAACAAATTTAATGCATCTGCTGTAAAATCTGGGGCTGCAAGGGGCGACGCCGTAAAGTGCCCGGGCGTGCGACCAGCCATCCACTGCTCAGGGGGCCAGTCGGGGATCGCGCATGCATGGCCACGCCACCGGTTCAGCAGCACGATGTCGGACCTTGGGAAGGCGCGGGGTTGACCGGTCGACCGTCCGAAATGCACGCCAGCGGTCGTCGCCGCCGTCGTCGTCGTCGTCGTCGTCGAGTTCTACCCGGGTGTTCGAGGCGAGCCAGCCATGGCGACGGGAAGCCCCCCAGATGCTCCGCAGCGGGGGCCTCGAGATCAGACGCGCCGCCGCCGACCGCCGACCCGTCCGAGGAGATCTGAGAGAGGGGGGCGCGCGGATGCTGTGGTGCACACAGGCGCCGTGGCGTACACAGGAGCTGTAGTGCACGCAGGCATTGTGGTGTACAATGGTGCTGTGTTGCGCACGGCTGATGTGGTGTACGCAGGCACTGTGGTGTACACTAGCGCCGTGGTGCCTGCAGGCACTGTGGCACACACTGGCGCTGTGCTGCACACTCATCCTGCTCCTCCGAGGGGCGAACTGGCAACCTGAGGCCGCGGCCACTTGCCACGCATTACCAGGTTGGCAATGGGCTCTGGCAAAAGTACGCAATAGAGATCAGCTGGATGGGAATCTCGCCCGAAAATTTGGCACACCAGGCCACCCACAGAGGACCTCGCACCCGTCGATGCGTGGACAACATCGATCGGGCCACCGGCGTCACCGAAGTCGGGCGAGAACAGCGGGTGCCCCAACGACACGCGAGCGATGCCGCTCACGCCCTTGAGGCTGCGGCGGAATCTGACGGCGCAGCCTGCCCCCTCGGGTACCTGGGGGCATCAATCGGCAGCTTTGTCACGCGATTTGCCATCCTCCTACCTCCTCACTCTCCAGCTCCTCTGCTCCCTCCCTCCTCACTCTCCAGCTCCTCTCCTCTCCTCCCTCCTCCCTCCCTCCTTCCCCCTTCCCTCTTCCCTTGTCCTGCCATTCCCCATCGTCCTCCTCCCCTTCCCCCTCCTCGCCTCCTTGCCTTCCTTTGACTCCGGACGGACCGCCCAGACATCCGTCACGCGAACGCTGTGTGAGTCCGTCGGCCCCCGGAAGTACGAGTCCCAGACCTGCTCCTTCTGGAGACGAACTAGCCTCTCCCCCTCCAAAATCCGTAACCCCCAACCCCAAGCGGGACCTCTCAGGCCGGATCGGTTCCGCGGAGGCCCAGGGGGTGGCTCTACTTCCTCGTGTGTATCCTCCTCGTCGCCCTCACGATTAGCCCGGGTGTCCTGCTCGGACCACTGCGTGAGCGGGCCGCGCTGGACAACGCCGGGCGCCACGCGGGCCAGGCCGCGCAGGGTGAAGGCCTGCGCCGAGACGCGGCGGCCCTTGTCGAGCATGGCGGCGTCGACGCCCTCCTTCGCAGGGTGGGATCTCCCCCCGATCACTTCCCCCTCATTCGCCTCATCCACCCCCACCTCGTCATCCCCCTCCCAAAAAGAGTCTCCCCCTCCTCCTCCTCCCAATCCTCCTCCTTGACCTCTTCGTCCTCATCGTCATCCTCATTATCATTTTCAATCCTGCTCCTGATGCTGATCCTCATTATCTTCCCTTCCCGTCCTCTGCAAACCGCTGCGCCAGCCACGGCATGCGCGGCAGCAGGCACAGATGCCGCCGCTCGCCATCCCACAGCCGTAAGCTTGGGTAGGCGTGGGACGCGACCCAAACGAGACCCTCGGCCGCCATCCTCGCGCCCAAACAGCTCAGCAGCGAGAGAAAGAAAGAGGAAGAGGGGAGCAGGGACGCCACTTGACATGAAGGCGGGACCCTGGAGCAAGCTATAGGTCCAAACGCGCCACTGTTTCGCGCTGCGTCCAGCCGTGGCGACGAGTGCGACGAGGTGGACCCACGAGGGCCAAAAAGCTACGAATCTCGATCCTTGAGTTCAGAGCGCACAGATGTTTCGCGCTGCGTCCAGCTGCGGCAACGAGGTGGACCCCCGAGGGCCGAAAAACCCGAACATCTATCCCTTCCTCCTCCTGATCCTCGTCTCCCTCGTCCTTCCCTTCCACCTCCTCCGCCATTCGCACGCGCAGATGCACGCGCGGAGGCACGCGCGATCGGGGCGAGCTCGCGCGGCCCGCGGGGAGGCGACGACGAGGGCGGGAGAAGGCGGGAGGAGTAGAAGAGAGGAGGAGGAGGCGGGAAGAAGGGAGGAGGAGGGTGATATTGAGGATGAGGAGTGAGGGAAGCGTTTTCCTTCAGATCGGCCCCCTGAGGGTGTTTTCCTTTGGACCCGTGGGCCCCGTGACCTTTGGTATGTCCCACACGATAGAGCGTCCCACGCGATACGGAGTACGGTCACACACGATAGCGCCCCAAACGGTACGACCCTACCGATCAGGCAGATCAGACTAAGGGGGCCGAATGGTCTTACACTGTCCCTGGGTGCGCGGCTGAAGTGGACTTCCGCGACGCGTATTCGTGTTCTTTGTTGTTGTCGTCGTCCTCGCCCGCGACCCGCCCGCGACCCATCCGCAACCCACCTGCGACCCGCCCGTGATCCACCCGCGACCTACTCGCGACCTACCCGCGGATCACCCGCGACCCGCCCGTGACCCAGCCGCGACCCAGCCGAGACCCACCCACGTTGCCTTGACGAAACCAACCCAGCGCCTATGGCGGGCTCCCTGTGCAATGTGCAGGAAATTGGCGCCTGCGGCGGGTTCTCTCAGATTTCGATTCGAGCCTCGCAGACAGGCGTCGATCCCCCCCCCGCCACCTCAGTGTCTCGTTGGCCTCGAAATTGGTCGTCGTCGTTCTCCTTCGTTGGCCTCGTCGTTTGTCGTCGTTCGTCGGCGTCATTCGTCGTCGTCTTCGTCGTCGTTCGTCGTCGTCGTCGTCGTCGTCGTGGTGGTGGTCGTCCCCGTGCGAAACTGGTGGTGCTATGGTGGAGCGCCACCCGATCGAATTCCGCTATGGAGTTCCGCGCCACTGGGTCCCACCTAAGATGGTCCCACAACGATGAGGCCCGAACTCACAAAACACCACCCCAATGGGCCTCATCCGACAAGGTCCCAGCCAGCAGGGTTCTACTCTGTAGGGTCCGTCACCATGGGGCTCCAATCCGTAGGATCCCATATAATCCCAAACCGTAGTATCCCACCGCACGGTGTTGGACCCACGCTGTTCTCATGGCCTGCTCTCCGCCGGAAAGCCGCGGCGTGCCCGCCTCCCTTGCGGACCTTCCCCGCGATGCCCATTCTCGGAGGGTGTTGACGCCAAATGTAATTTGCAATTCCTGCTACGCGACGCGGCATCCAGCACCGCGCGGGAGCGCCTGGGGGGGGGCTCGTCGGTCACGAATCTTAGATTCTCGTTCTGGGGACCTTCCTGGAGCAACTCGCTCCACTCATGCCGATGCTGGGTCCAACGTCCATCGCCTTGTGTCGAGCTGGAGTCGGACAAGTCGAACTAGAAGCAAACTAGAGTCGAACAGATCCGTCGGGTGGGCCCCAGGGAAGTCCCCACAGCGAACATCTAACGAATCGGACACCAGACCTCAGCAAGCATTCAGCGGCTCGATCGGCTCTTCTGGACAGGGCCTCCCTTGACCTCTCGACGCCTTCCCCGGAGCCAGCTCCCCGTTCCGACCGGCCGCCCCGACTTCCCGAGCCGCTGGGGTGTCGGGGCACGCCCTCCCCGCGCTCCTCGGAGATCCGCTGGGCGCAACGTCTGCGGGCAGCTCGACTGCGCAGACAGTGCGGCCGAAGTCTTGCCACACAGGGCGTCAAGAATTATACGCATCCACTGCCCCTGGCTAGGCCCATCCCCGGCCCAGGAGCGGTACGTACGCCATGCGCCGCTCCTGGTTCCGGGATGAGCTTGGCTGGGGGCGGTGGAGATGTGTGTGGATCTCGCCGCCCGGCTGCAGGGATCGTTGAAGACAGAGTGAAAGCCCTTGTTGGCCATGGTTTCGACGATTTCTTCAGGGGTCCTCATGGAGAACACACGGACGGACCTCCGAACCCAACGTTGTCCTCAATCCAACGTTTTGCCTGCAGGAGGGCGCCCGCCGTACACCAGCACCACGGCTAGTTGGGCCCATCAAGGTCCAACATTGGTGTGCGTGTGACCGCTTCTGGCCCCAGCCAGCAGCCAAGAAGGATGATTAACCAGCTCTGGGCCAAAACTAAAAAATGGGCCTGGCGAGCCCAGGAATAAGGTGAAACTAGGTGCCCCACCTCCCCTCGTGGAAGAACATTGGCACGCCAGAAATGGATACAGAAAAAGCCAGCCAGTGCGATGCCCAACAACAAGCGGTGTCCAAAAGCGACAGTGGCCTCTTATGGGCAGGCGATTTCCGTCCAAGACGGAGAACGTCCACGGCGGCACCAGCAGTGCACCCTGCCCAGCATGGGCAGGGAGTGCTGCTGAACCTCGTCCCCAGTATTTCCGTGATAACTTCGATCCCCCGGAAGAAGGGAGCTAGACCACCCAGTGGTGCCCGATAGCTCATCTCGACCGGCTTTTCCCGAGCCGAGCCCAGGCCTCGCCGACGAGGGTGCCCACCCCATCAAGGGCAGCAAACTCGATCCCAGACATGCGATGACTTGATTTGCAAACTAATCGCTAAATGTCTTTAGTTTTGGTCCCCCCCGTTTTCTCTCGTTTCTCTCGGCGGTGAAAAGAACTGGTCCGAAAACCTCCTCCTCCTCCTCCTCCTCCTCCTCCTCCTCCTCGCCGTCGTTGCGCGGCGGGTGCCGCGGAACAAATACATAGTTACACCCTAGTGGTGGGACCCTAGTCCTTCAATGAGGCCGTCGAACAGTAATGAGATAATTATCCCCTGTTGGGGGGGGGGGGATTCTAAAGACCTTTCAGGGTTACACTTGAAGTCCCGATCCTTGCTCCATGGGAGGCCCCGGGGCACCGCGAGGGCACGCAGAGGCCGAAAACTGAGAAAACAAAACGTCCGTCGCGAATTGTTCGTGAGGCGAGCGCGTCTGGGAACCCTCCACTTCCCCAGCCGAGCAAAATCAACAATCGAAAGCACAACAGTAACACTAACAGCAACGACAACAACAAACAAAACAACAACAACAACAACAACAACAACAACAACAACAACAACAACAACAACAACAACAACAATCACTTTACCCGAACGCTCAGTGTTCTCACCAGTGCCAGGGTTTTCATGCGACGCCAGCCAATACCCCCACTTTGTGGGGGGGCAGTGCAAGCTCTACCAAATATCCACACGACTCTTCGCCACCACCCACACCCAGCTTCCCGCCCTATGACGTTCGGACACTTCACTTCGTGGCCTGCGGACGACCGTGGCTACTACACTGGCGTGGAGTACACACCCACAGAAGTTGTTAAGCCGCGTTCGAACGAATGTGTCCCGCATGGTATTATTTGACAGGGATGATGGCCCTGGCAGGTGCGCAACCGTTGTCGCAGAAGTTCGAAAAAGTTGCTCGCAAAAGCCCGTTTGACAGAAATGTTTAAAAAGTGTTGGGTTTCCTACGAATCCGCAAGAGCGCGCGGGATGAGATTTTGACAATTTTTTGTTGAAAAACCATTGGTTTTTTGATGTTTTTATGTTAAAATCGCTGCGAACACTAAGGTTTTGGAAGGATTTCGTCTTGCGCGCGCGAATGTCCACTTTACCTTATTTTTTGCAAGGGATTCTTGAAATTTGATTATATTAGAACAAGAAATGTCATTTTCTATTGTTTTTTGCAAGGGAAAGCGGATTACAACAAAACAACCGGATCCTGTACACACCCTCTTTTCTGAGGCTTCCTCACGAAAATGATGAAAATGTAGCTGCGGCCTAGGCGGCGCAGGGGGGGCGCGCACCAGGGGGCCCAACAATAATTATTCTTTAGAATAAATAATGTTCAACAACAACAACAACACCAACAACAACAACAACACCAACAACAACACCAACAACAACAACAACAACAATAACAACAGCAACACCACCAACAGCAACGACAACGACAACGTCAACGTCAACAACAACAACAACAAAAGCATCAACAACAACAACAACGACACGAATGCCAATAACAACAGCAGCAGCGACACCAACGAAACCGACATCGACAACGACACTACGACGACGACAACGAAAACGACAACGACAACACCAACAACAACACCAACAGCAGCAGCAGCAGCAACGACAACAACACCAACAACAGCATCAGCAGCAGGGACTGCAAAAAAACAACACCAACAGCAAACACACCACGAACAACACGAACGACACTAGCAACGATAACACAACGCTAGCAGCAAGCACAACAAACAAACAATACTAACGACAATGACAACAACAACCATAACAACAACTTTCACAACAACAATGACAATACAAATACCAAGAACACCAGCAACGACTACATCGACATCAGTAACAACATTAACAACATCAGCAACAACAACATCAACATAAACAACACGAGCAACAACAACAGCAACACCAATAACAACAGCAACACCACCAACAACAACAACACCACCAATAATAACAACAACGACATCAGCAGCAACAACAACAACAACACCACCAGCAACAACAAACACAACAAAAACAACGCGCGCTCGCGCGCGCGCACGGGCGAGCAACCACCAAGTCGGAGGTACGTTGTCTCCACGCCCAGGTGGCGAGAGCCGTGCACCCCCTTGGCCACGAGCCACTGCATGACCTGTCGGGCTGGCGCTCG